GAGACAGACACTATCTCTACTTTTAAGATTAGGCTTAAAACTTTCCTTTTTGCTAAAGCATATAGTTAGGGCTGGACCAGGTGACCCCGAATCCTCCCTTAGTTATGCTGTAGGCTGCTGGGACATTCCCATGATGCATTAAGTATTTCTTCTTTATTCACCTTTCTCAGTAATGATGTGTTAATAGACCTCTCTGCATTCAATTATTACTTATTATTAATCTCTGGCTCTCTTCCACAGCATGTTTTCTGTCCTCTCTTCCTCCCCTCATGGCAGATGGCCGCCCCTCCCTGAGCCTGGTTCCCACTGTCACCAAAGTACTTGCTCATAGGGGGTCATGTGATTGTTGGGTTTTTCTCTGTATTGTGTTATTGTAGGGTCTACCTTACAATATAAAGTGCCAAACTATAAAGGATATAAAGTAAAAATAAAGTAAAAATATAAAGGAACAAAACAGTTGAGAGCATCTTGAGCACAGCAGAGAAAAACGTGTGTGCTAAGGATGATTTTGAACTATTAACTTTAAGTGTCGTTATTGTTAAGGAGATGTGGACACAGGAGTGTGGACACCGATCCTTATTCACTTAGCCGCTGTTTACAGTTTAAAAAGTCTTCACCAAAACAAGCACTTCTGATGGTACTTTGTTCCTCATTGTTTTTAAAAAGCAAGAGCAGGCAAAACAAATCCAGTAAATGCACTTATATCTGTAAGTTTACCAACACTTTAAATAATGCTCTGTCGAATACTGCTGATGTGTCACAAATGCACAAAGTGTTCGTGGGTGTCAGAGCCTGGGTGTAACAATGTAATACTGGACATAATACAGAGACATAGACATATTCTCTGAGATCAAATATTTGATTAATTTAGAAACTTAGAAACTTGTTTTTGCATTTTGACCACCTGTGAAACACCTATGTTATAACACTCTGTCTTAATATATTTTTATTTTAATGTTTTAATCTGTGGATTTCATTTTTTTAATGTATTACAGAAAAGTCCTGTCAGCCCCGTGCTGAGAGAGCATCCATCCACCCTGTTCTAATGACCACAAATTTCAGGAGCACCTTTCGTAGATCTGTTTAGTTTTATTCAAATAGTCCCACTCAACAGTCAACAACTTTTGTCTTAGGACATTCTAAGGTAATCAAGGACAAATGTTCACTCAGATTCATTCATGAAGTGAAAGCAGTTTTGTAATCAACGCTGAGTTTTAAGCCATAACTGGCTACATATGTATACAATATCACGAGTAGACGGACATGGATGTAAACTGCAACTTAACTGTTTGGCTGACCGCAAGGCAGTGATTCTAGCTTAAAGGTAATTTGGTTTTGCCTGCCTCTAATGATGTTGATTTATTAACAGATCTTTTTAATAATTACTGTCTTTCTATTATCGATAATATTTGTCCTATTAAAACTAGACTAGCCCCTGTTACAAAACCCTCGCCCTGGATAAACGACAGCATTCGCTGTTTAAAGTGTGTCTGTCGTAAAGCTGAGCGTTTGTGGAGAAAGACTCGTTTACAGGTTCATCTCTTTCATTTAAAAGACCTGTTAGATTCTTTTAATGCTTCAATTCATGATGCAAGGGCTGCTTATTTTTCAAACCTAGTCTCTACGAGCAGAGGTAACCCTAAGGTTTTATTTGACACTATTAGGGATATTTTTACTCCGGCTGCTGCTGCTGTCCCTATTTCTTCGAATGAAGACTGTAAAAAATGTTCTTTCCTTCTTTGTTGAAAAGGTTAGCAATGTAAGGAGCAACATCTCTCCCTCCATGTACCATTTGCCTGTTCCGATTTTACTTAAGCCTGTCATATTTGAAAGATTTTCACCAGTGTCTTTACCTGAGTTGTTGAAGCTGGTCACTTCAATGAGATCATCCTCTTGCCCCCTTGATATTTTATCTGGGTCTTTACTTAAAAATGTTTTTGAGTCTATTGGTCCTAGTGTTCTTAAAATTATTAATGCATCTCTACTCTCTGGTCAGGTCCCTGTTTACTGTAAAAGTGCTGTCATTCACCCACTTTTTAAAAAACAAACAAACATGATGCTTCTTTGCTTTCCAGTTACAGACCCATCTCAAAATTGCCTTTTATTGCCAAGATTTTAGAAAAGGTTGTGGCCAAGCAACTCACGGTTTTTCTAGATGAACACAATGTTCTTGATAAATTTCAATCTGGCTTTCGTAAGGCTCACTCTACCGAAACTGCACTTCTTAGAGTGTCTAATGATATTTTGATGAATTATGATGCTGGAGAGTGCACTGTTTTGATGTTGCTGGATCTGACCTCTGCTTTTGACACTGTTGAAAATCTTATTTTGTTAGATAGATTAAACCACTGGGTGGGTGTATCGGGTACCGCATTTGAATAGTTTAAATCCTATTTGTCAAATCGATCTTTCTCTGTGGCTACCTCTAAGTTCAGATCCTCCGTCAGCTCTCTTGCCTATGGGGTGCCTCAGGGCTCTGACTTGGGACCGTTATTGTTTTTGTTGTATTTACTCCCTCTTCTGCAACTTCTTAGCTCTTTCTCTGGTATTTCATATCATTGTTATGCAGATGATATTCAGCTATATATCTCTTTTAGGCCACCTGATGTTTCTAAGCTCCAAATCTTGCATTCCTGCTTAGATTCCGTTAGAGATTGGATGGCTGGTAATTACCTTCAACTAAATGCTGATAAAACGAAAGTCATTGAAATTTGTTCCCCTCGTGGTTAAAAATCTCCATGCCACTCCCCTGCTGATTCAACTGCATTGGCTCCCTGTCAAGTTCAGGGTCCATTTTAAGATCATAATCATGACTTATCAGTGGCTCCCAGACTCTGGAACTCGCTCCCTTTGAGTTTGAGATCTGTGGACTCAGTCATGTCTTTTAAAAAACAGTTAAAAACGTATCTGTTTAAACTTGCTTTTGGTTGATTTTGTTTTGTTTGAGATTTTAATGTCTGTTTTCTGCCTCTGTAAAGCACTTTGTGATTTTATCTTGAAAGGTGCTATATAAATAAAATTTTACTTTACTTTTTACTTTACTCTGGATATAATTAAATGCTTGTCAATGTTTGTCAGGTATCCTGTTGAATGCACGATTATGAAAACGTTTTAATGAGGACAAACTGGTTTCAAGAAAAATTAAAATGCTCACATTTTCGAGTTTGCGAGTGATTTTTTTTAATTGCGATAGAAAATTTCTATTATTCTCATTTAAAGTATTTAAGTGCTTATGTATATGCTTAGTTGTGACACTGCACAGTGGAAGTTTCTAAAACTAGATGAACTTGTTTACCCCCTTAGTAGTTGGAGAAGACAACTCCCTTTGCAGCTGTTGATAACACCAAGGGCACAAAACAGCTTACCCATTGTTTCGTTAGGCTGCATAGCAAGCTTCATGATGTGTGGTATGATCAGTTTGTGACTCCCTCCCTCTTCCTTGGAATGCATAAAGGAGTGGGAGCACCACCTGTGTTTCAGAACGCTCATGACTGTAGAACTGTGTTGTTTGATGTGTGTTAGCTCTCCTGCATGCAGTAATAAAATAGCTTGACCACAGCTGGCTTTGTTGCAGATTTTATTAACAGAAAATTCCACCATATCATGTGTTAGCTGTTTAGTCATTTTATGACGAGATGGATGCTGTCATTATATTTTAGTATAGTTTTTGAGTTGAGGAGAATAAAAGAATATTTAACATTAAATGTACCTGTGTTGCTGTGTACTAAGCACAAATTAATTTAAAAAGCTAAAACAAGAAGAATGAATTTTTGACCAAATTGTGTGACAGAATTTTTCTTTTTACTGTTAACAGAAAATCCATCCGTGAATGTCTGAATAAAAACAGAAAATGTCCAGGCAGAAAGTTTTCAGGACATTTAAAAAAAATTGCCAGGCATTCATTACCTGTTCATCTAGTTTTAAGTAGTTTTTCCCCAAAAAAACCTGTGAAATGCAAAAGAGTAAAGAGATTTCTCAAAAAACTTTTCACATTGCTGTGGACTTGACATCAAAGAGAGGGGACACAGAAACAAGACCTAAGAACTACTAGAGCTTAGAAATACAGAACCAAAAACTTAAAGACTAGTGATAAATCATGATGAAATCAAAGCACAATAAATAATACAAAAATCAAAATGCCTGGTCACCAACCCAGGATCTTGACAATGAGGCTCTTGGATGTGTAATTTTATGCTGTGTATCACAGGTGCTGATTCAACAAGTTATGTTATTGATATCAGTGTTAATTAATATATTAAAAAACGTATGGAGCATGGGAGGAGGACCGAAATGATCAAAAGATGTAATTCATAGTCCTGTTCTGCTTACTAAACTGTTCTTTGAAGACACATATGTTTGGAAAGCAGCTGATCAGAAACAGCAACTAAACCTTTCTTTATCTGCATCATCTCAGGTAATGCAGAGTGTACACACTGATGAGTCATGCGTCTGCAGCATTTGTGTTAAATATTGAAAACTCTCATTTATGAAACTTTCACTTAACTAAAGCAAGAGTTGCATTACATAAATGCTACAAGCAACAACAACACAGGCAGAATTCAGAGCTGAACATTTCTGTCCAATTTTATTTGTTCCTTGAAAGCAGAGGTGGTTTCTATCGAGATAAGTTAAGTGCACCACTCCCTCTGTTGACTTCAGTTAGTGTTTCTCACCTAACAGTCTTTTTCTCACTCATTCTCCCCTATATGAATATAATCATTCCAATAAAATGGTATTTATTTCATTGCACTTTGGATCTTTTTGTTTAAGTGAATTAATATGTTTTCTGCATTTATCCACATCTGTGCTTATAAAATTGTGGGTGGCAGCATTAAAACTATTAACTTTTATAATTATAAGGCCCAAAGTATTCCCTTATTATCTTATTTATCCCTAAACTCACCACGTCTGATTCCTTCTGTTATTTATTTAGGTATTTAGGTATTTTTTATTTATGTTGCTTTTTTAATTGATTTATTTTAACAAAGTCAACCTTTAGTGGCCTACCTGGCCCAACAACCTGCGACACCAGTTGGTGAGAGAGGTCGGAGTCACAGCGTGACCACAGGACATCTGAGCTCTGAGAGATTTGAAGCCTTCACACAAAACTGAGAACAATCAAACACACACAGGAATAAACGCTAATGTCGACTTTTTTTTACATTGCATAATGTGAATGTAAATACTTACAATGATTTTATTTTATTATTTCTAAACAATAATTTTGACACCAGTTTGAAAAGTGTCCAAGTGATACTTACAGTCCAAATCATCCTCTTTATCAACAAACTTAACTGTTGGGTCATTCGGATTGTAACACTTCTCCTGTTTTGTTGTCATATTTGAGGCCAACAGTCTGCGAAACAATAAACAAACCAGAATGTGTACTTTAGTGGTAGGTGTGTGTGTGTGTGTGTTTGTGTGTGTGTGTGTGTGTGTGTGTCAGACAGAGAGAGTGAACACTAGGGTGTTTCCAACAATAACGAGAAGTGCGATCATAACAGTCGTTACCAGTGAAATCACACCTTTGAATATCCACCCAAGTGTAACACTCATCAACTGAACTGAACAACTGCTAACCAGACGGTG